TGCACAGTTTGCTCATGATCCCAGTCAATTACTTGAGTTATAGACTCTCTGTTAAGGTAGGGGTCTGCTTCCAGTGTGGAGAATGTATTGTCCCAAGCTTCAGGGATTTTGTGCAGCTGTTTTCAGAGATACTTCTAGGGACCTGTAAATTTTCAGTTTTCCCAGGGTGGTATGATCAGGCACTAGGTGTTTACTCTTTCCCTGGCCTATGCTCTGGTCTGAGTGACTACAAGCACTCTTTTCTGCCTTGGAACTGTGAGGAGGATTCCCTCTCCACCACCACTACAAGCTCCACCACACCAGTGCTCTTTCTCACCTCAGGACCACCACCCAGGACTGTGACCCAGATCCAAGCACAGGCAAAGCAAGAGAATCCTGCCTCAGCACCAGCAAAGAGGTCCCTGTAATCTCCCTCTGATCAGCCACTTGATTCCCCCTCAGTCTGTGGGCTGGAAGCTCCAGAAGCAGCCTCTGCTCTGGGGCTGTGCCAGGACTGGGGCTGGGACCAAACTTCTCTCTCACCTCTGTCACAGACTTTTCCTACTGACCTTCTAATTTCTCTTTGGCGTTCGTGGGTTGAGAAGTTTGGAAACTGCCACAGCTGCCCGTGATTCAGTCCCCTGAGGCCTGCTCCAGGTTTGCTGAGGCCTGTTTTGCCTGTGCGCCCATGCTGACCTGTGATAGACTTCTCCAATTAACCATCCAGGTTGTCTTGGGCTGGAAATTTGTTTCACTCTTTTTGTGGGTTCTCCTGCTTTAAAATGTGTTTAGAGTCATTTTTCACAGAGATGTGGAGGGGTTTGGGGGACAGCTCAAGCAAGTTACTGCTTTCACTCCACCATCTTGGCTCCACCCCACCTTGTATCACTTCTTCCAACCTCCATATGAACACCTGCCTTGTGTGAGTTTTCCATAAAATAGTCTTTTAGGCAAATGTATGTTTGGCATTTGGGCTACATGGCCAGCTCAAAAGAGTTGCACTCTCTGCAGTAGAGTTTGAATGCTTGGTAGTTTAGCTCGAGAAGGGACCTCAGTGTCCAGTACCTTATTTTACTAGGTGATCTTCAGAATCTAAGACAATTCAAATGGAATCAATTTAGTTTCCTGGCATGGTGCTGGTAGACTGTCCATGTTTCACAGGCATACAACAATGAGGTCAGCACAACAGCTCTTTCGACCTTCAGTTGGTGGTCAGTCTAATACCTCAGAGAATTGATCTATACTCTGTTGCATCTCAGCCTCAGAGGCTGCACTGAGCACACAATCATCTGCAAACAAAAAATCATACACCAACACTCCTTCCAATTTAACCTTGGCTTATAGCCTTTTCAAGTTAAATAATTCACCATCAGTGTGGTAGCTGACCTTGATGCTATGTTCATCCTCACTGAAGGCATCTGACAACATTGATGAAAACATCATGCTAAAAAGTGTGGGAGCAAGCATACAGCTCTGCTTCACTCCATTGGTGACTGGGAAAGCACAAGAGCATTGTCTGTTATCTAGAACCTGGGCAAGCATGCCTTCATGGAACTGGTGCACAACGTTGAAGAACTTCACCAGGCAACCAAATTTTGCCATGATCTTCCACAAGTCCTCACAACTGACAGTATCAAAGGCCTTGGTCAGATTGACAAATGGTGCGTACAGACCTCTGTTCTGCTCCTGGCCTTTCTCCTGGAGTTGTTGGGCAGCAAACACCATATTGACCATTCCTCAGCCCTTTCTGAAGCCACACAGGCTCTCAGGTAGATGACCATCCTCCAGGTGAAGGATCAGCCTGATAAGAAGGACTCTGGCAAGAATCTTGCTAGCAAATAACTAAGAGAAAGAGACCCCACCCCCAACCCGTGATTGTCACGGGAAAACCTAATTCCTTTTCCTTTATATAGATGGACAATGGAGGTATCCTTGAACTTGGGGGGGGGGGGGGGGAATTACCTCCACTGGCCATGTAACCCAGAAAATTTCAGTCAGCTTTTGTATGAACAGTGGATCCCATCTTGTAGATCTCAGCTGGAATGCTTGCTTTGCCACAGGAGAGGAGCCTAATGGCCTTCAAAACCTCTTCTTCAGTTGGAAATGTGACTAGAAAGGGATTGACTTCCACCTGAGACATACAGTCAATGGCTTCCTCGTTGGTTGATGACAGTCTGTTGAGAACACAATGCAAGTGTTCAGCCCACCTCTCCAAGATCACATCCTTATTCCTATTGGTTCTAATTCTTACTTACAACATCACTAATGTGAAAATATGTTTAATAGGAATGTATATGTAGAGCCTATATCAAATTGTGCACCATCTTTGGGAGGGTGGTGGGAAGGAAGGAGGAAAAAAATTTTAAACTCAAAAGCATATGGAAGTGATTGCTGATAAATCAAAATAAATTAATAAAAAAAAAGATCACATCCGTATCACTAAGCAATGTGGCTCCATTAGCACTGAGTAGTTGAGATGCACCACATCCCTTTGGCCTATAAATAGCCTTCAGGGCATCATGAACACACTTTGTATTGTTACTATCAGCATAAAACTGAATTTCATCTGCCTTCTTAGGGAGCCAAGAATCCTGCCTCTCTCTATGCTTCCATTGCCCTTTACCTTTTATGCAATTAAATGTTGCCTTCTTAGAGATGGATGAACTGTCCTGCTGGTAAACCCTGTGGAGTTCTCGTTTTTCATTGAGCAGCTTCTGAGTTTCCCCATCATTCTCACCAAACTAGTCTGGATGGGCCAAGTGACTAAATTCAAAGCTGTACACCAAATCTCTGAAAGATGCCCACACCTTTTCTGCTCCACGGTTGCCAATCATGTTGGCTCAGCTTTCAGAACTGTCCCCATTCAGCAAAGCACTCTGATCTGTTGACATTAAGTTTTCTGGGAGTAGTCTTGCTTTGGCACCACCATTTTGGTTTAATTTGAATATCTAGCTTGGAGAGGATAAGTCCATGGTCACTCCAGCACTCTGTGTCACACATTGCCGTCATCACTCTCACATTCTGTCTCCTTACAATGACATAGTCAATCAAATTCCAATGTTTGCTTTGGGGAATGCATCCACAAAATCATATTGTGTTTAGGTAAATGGCAGGCAGTGTTGGTGATGAGAAGGTCATGAGATGCCCAAGTCTTCAGTAGTGACCACTGCTGTTGCTGTTTCCAACTCCATTCCTCCCAAGGACTCCCTGCCATGTCTGGTAGTCTGAGCCTACTCTGGCATTAAAGTCACCCAGAATTAGAAGCGTGTCCTCTTTTGGCACATTGATGATAAGGGTCTCCAGATCTTTATAAAATGTTTCTTTGACCTCATCAGGGTTCATCATGGTGGGAGCACAGGCGCTGATGATGGTGGTGCGACATTTTCCTGTGAGTGGCAATCACATTGTCACAGCCTGTCATTCACTCCTTTGGGGAGGCACACAAGCTTGTTGACCAGATTAGTTTTGATTGCAAAACCTACACCAGCTTCACAGTGCTCCCCTTTGCTGTGGCTACTCCAGAAAACTGTGTACGCAGCTCCGACTTCACTAAGCTGGCCTTCCTCGGCCATCCTCGTTTCACTCAGAACTGCAATTTGGATGCAGTATCTGCTCTCTCAACAAGAGCTGTTTGTCTTTCAGGTCTATTGGATTTTGTTATACATAAAGTGTGCGCACATTCCATGTGCTGTTGGTGAATAGAATAATCTTTGCTGTTGTTTTTGTACATTTTTCTGGTGTGTCTTGACCTCAGGGTGGGATCCCTGCCTGCCTTAGTAATCAGGCCAGGGTTGGATAAGCAGACCTTTTTTAGGGCACCTTTTCTAGCCCCCTCCTCACACCAGGGAGTGAGCCATTTGATACTATGAGACCAGGCTGGGGCCTCTTCAATGGCCAGCCTGGGACCCTGGCTGGAAAGGCCCAGAAGTCTTAAGGGTCTCAAATACATTATAATTTCTATCTGCCCTCCCCTCCCCCAAATACACACACACACACACACACACACACACACACACAGAGCTGACAAACCTGTCAACTGAGGAGTAGTAATCAAACCAGGAAATGATTTTTCGGCCCCCTCTTCCCCCCCCCCCAACCAAGGCCTCTCCATCACTGCCCTGTATCCTTCCCAGGAGGTCACCACCAGGGTAGCTGGTTATCCTGGGAAGGCCCTGTGAGCTGGGGGAGGGAAAGTTCAGTTGACATGCGCCAGGTAAGGACAAACATTTTGCTTTTCTCCTCCCCCCCCAACAGCTGCTTTGACGCCTTGAGCCCTGAGAACAAGAGTTGATTGAGGAGGGGAGGAAGGGGGAAGAGAATGAACAAGCACATTTTCCAGAAGGCAAACAGCAGAGCTCCCTCCCATTCTCACTAAGGCTTGCCCCCTCCTCCTGGCCCAGTTCCTAGCTGCCATGCAGCCAAAGGGGACAAGTGATTTCACTCTGAAATAGGAACCGTAACCTCCTCCCTCCCTCCTCTGCATGGAACAAAATCCCAATCAGGGTGTGGGAGAGCCCCCAGACCAGGGTGGCCAGAGTACCATAGGGTCTTGGCTGAAGTAGATCAGGGGCAGCTTCCCCTAGGGTCAGGCCTCCCCCTTCCTGTTTAAGTCTAACCAATCCTGCCAAGGGCACCTGCCCCTGGCTTCTCCAAGACCCTTTGTGTCCTGGGCTGCCCCAGACCTGGCAGCTGCCCCCTCCCTTCTCACCTCCACCTGACACTCAGCTCAAATATCCCCTCCGCTTATTACAAGGCCTTCATAACACCCCCAGTCACTAGTGTGCCCCCCCATTACTGGGTCTTAAGTTCACAGACTAAAGAGACAGAAGAGACCTTCAAGGCCTCCTAGGGCAACCCCCACATTTCACAGGCCAGTAGAACTGGGATATAGCCAGGACCGGCTTATCTATCAACATCTTGTCTCCCCCTATAGAATGTAAGCAGCTTGAGGGAAGGGGCCATTTTTTTTTATCCCTCTCACTTAGCACAGTGCTTTTCACACAGCAGGTGCTTAATAAGTGTTTGTGGAGGTGAAGTCTTTTATTTATAGATTTTCTAAAAACCACAGTGATATTTGTTCCTGCAGAGGCTCGGGGTCCCAGGTAGCCTATACGCAATGCTTCCCGAGTTCCTGTGGCCAAAGGCACCCTGGGAGAGCAAGGGGATTCAGCCTGTGTGAGGGACGCATACGCTTGAAGCCTTTCTAGCCTGGCAGAACTGTCAGTCAGCTCCTGTGTCCCTGACCTCTCCCAGGGGCTACGGAGGATCCTGGAGCAAAAGTCCAGAGTCTTCCCACAGAAGATGTCACCCAGGCTCCCCTCAGAATGACAGAAACCACAGGGGACACTGGGGTCTGAGCCTTATGGTGCCTCCTCCAGGGCCCTCCCCAACCGCAGGCTCCCCAGGCTGCTCTTGGCAAGAAGCCAGCGGCCACCACACAGTCCTCTCCAGAGAGAATGACTCAGTGTCAGCTGACCCAGGCGTGCCCATTTCCTTGAGGAAAAGGCCGCCAGAACTGCCCGGGACCAGGATGGACTGAGAGCAAGAAGAACACCAAGGGAAGAGAAGAGGGGGAGCCCTCCGAAATGTCCAGGTCCTGTGGCCAGCCCCTGTCCATCCCCATCCCCCACCGTCATTCACACAGTGACCTTCTGGATCACACTCTCAGTGACATGGACTTCATCAGTCTGGACAGTGACTGTGGCTGACTGACCACACATGTGCTGGTGTTCCTTCCAGTCCTGCAAGGAGAGAACATAGGGGGGCTGCTCTTAGAATCAGGAAAGGTGCAGGGAAAACGGTGTGAGATTCTACATCAAGACGGGAGCACGGAGAAGACCATGCTGGGCCCAGGTCCTGCCCTCAACAAGCTTCCACTCTACAGGGGACTCCAACAAGGACCTGTTCGAGGGCGTCATCCTAAGAGCTCTGTGCAGAGGTGCTAAGCGATTGCCCAGGGTCACAAAGCTGGCCAAGGTCTGAGGCCAGAGCAGGCAGCTGAAGTGAGCCTTGAAGGAGAGAACATTCCAGGCAGGAAGGATGGGCAGCAAGTCACGGACAGGGGAAATCAAATCTGAGGTGGCTAGAAGGCATCACAGTGCCAGACTACGGGGCCTGGAGGCAGCAAGACCCGAGTTCAAATCCAGCCTCATACACTCACTAGTTTCGGGATCCTGGGCAAGTCACTTAACTTACGTTTGTCTCGGTTTTCACAGCTGCAAAATGGACCTAATAGCACCTCCCTCCCAGAGTTGTTGTGAGGACCCAATGAGATAATATCTGTAAAGATATTCTCAAGCCTAAAGGTGTTACTGTCATGACTCCCCTAAGGGGATTAAATACCACACAGAGGAATCTGTCTGGAGGGGGCTCCGGCGAGCAGCACACCTCTATGCACGATCCCCCAGCTTTGAGAGAAATAAACACGCGCATGTAGCCTAATTTCATTTGTCTTAAAACGAACGTGGTTCCAGCTGACTCATGTTGTCTCCCCTGGGGGGCTGTGAGCTGCCGCGTCCACCTATGGACTGTCTTGCTCTGTCTTTGGAGCCTGCTGACCCGAAACTCACAGGCACTGAAGGAGCGTTTGCCCACTGACTGTTAGAGAGCCGTCTTCACAAGAACCTTGGAGGCAGGCTGCAGCACAAGCGTTCATGCGCCCATTTCACAAATGAGCAAACTGTGGCTCAGACAGGTGAAGTGATTTGCTAGTGAACGTGGACTCCAGGAAGTGAGTCCCAGGCCAGGGGTCTAAGCCCACCAGTGACCATCAACAGGAGGAAATCTCCCCTCTCTGAAAAGATCTATTGCTACTGACCTAAACCCCCCTGGATGAATCAGACAGCCCTTTAAATCCAAGGGTAAAGTAGAGACTACCTTAGTCCCAGAACACTGCTTCGGTGGGCTGGATTCAGGGTGGGGGTGGCCTGCTGAGGCGGCCCAGAACTCAGACTTGGTCTCTGCAGATTCTCAGCGGGGGAGGACGGCCCCCAGGGCCACAAGCCATCGTATAGTTTGAAGGACAAATTTTAAGTTTAACGCACTTTGAAAAGCACATGCCTCTGACCCCGGCCCCCTCACCCAATCCCACTATATTCTCCAGAAGGGGAGAGCTATCCCTCCCCCATCCCCCACTCAAAAAGCCAAGTTTTAATTGCTGGAAGCTACAGATCTTTCCGAGATCTCCTCAGTGTCCATAGGGCAATAAGGGGGTGATCAATGATAGAGAAATGCATGGGTAAACACTCTTATCTCTCTTCACCGCTTACAGATAAGGCAATTAAGCCTGAAAGGATCCTGACTAGCAGAGTTAGGTAAGAGTCCTTGGGCAGAATGGCACTGTCTGCTGCCCCTAGAAGGGCTAATGAGCTTTGGTGGGGCCACCCACAGGATTTTATCGATTCTAAGTAAGCAACACATGGCAGGGAGACAACCTAAGCTAGGTCACTCCAGAGCCCGGCAAGGAGCCTCACTGCCCCAGCAGTCCGACAGAAATGCCATGGAGGCGGCTGCTGAGGAGCTCCTGGGGGCACCCGGCTGGCAGGAAGCGCGAGGGCCAGTTACCTTGCGCTGGCAGAAAGTAGAGCAATAGTTGACCTTGTGGCAGCCGGTGCACTCATTCATGGCTTCTCGGCCACAGTTGACACAAGATTGCTGGAAAATGGAAAAAGAAACTGAGTGAGCATTAGCCTCTGGAGCAGAACTTTAGGAAATGGGAGGAGAGCCCCCATCCTCCTGTTCTGGGCTCCCCTCAGCAGGCTGGGGACCTGAGGCAGGGGAAAGGTCCTTTCACCAGCAAAGTGAGTGAGGCTGCCACTCCCACCCAATCAAAGCACCCTCAGGCTGTAACTCCCAAGGACTCCCTGAGAGTTCACAGGTCCTGGGTCTATCCCAACCCCTACAGAGAAGGTGGTGCTGTACATATAAAGAAAAAAAAAAGTTGGCCCTGCACTCTGGGGTCCAGAGACACTGGTGCTGGTGGGGGAACCTTTCTTAGGAATGTTTTTAAGTGCACAAACACATACAGAATTACCAAGGAAACCACCTGGATCGAATATAGCAATTAATACATTAAATAAAACAGGCTCAAGGTCCCAGTCTAGAGGATGACTCACCCCATGAGCTGGCTGTTGGCACGCCAGTTCAAACTACTGTATGTGCTATTATTCCCATGTGACAAAGAAGGAAATGGAGAAGAACTGGGCAGGATCGTGGGGTGGGCTGGGGGAGGGCAGTGTAAATGTCAGGGCAGGGACTTGGAACCTCATTTTTTTTAATTAAATTTTATTTTATTTTATTTTAATGAAGATCCACCTTCTCTCTCTTCCTCTCCAACATCCCTTCTCCTCAACTGACAAAGCAAGAAAGAGAAAGCCTAGTAGTCATTTACAGGATTTTCCATATGGCTTTTGGTGCTTGGATTTCATCTCAAAACTGCCTGTTTGTATCCTTTGACCATTTATTAATTGGTGGATGGCTCTTACTGTTATAAATTTTAGTCAGTTCCCTACATATCCCAGAAATGAGACCCTTAACTGAGAAACTTGCTGCAAAGATTCCTCTCCCACCCCCACCCCCCCTTTACCTGCTTCTCTCTTAATTTTAGATGCACTGGTTCTGTTTGTACAAAAATCTCTAAAATGGTCAGGAGTCAGAACTGCCCATTTTATTTAGGATCCTCTCTAACCTTTGCTTGGTCCTAATCTTCCTCAGTTCACAGATCTGACAGGCAGTTTCCTCTGTGCTCCTCTGATTTGTTTATGATATCACCCTTTGTATCTAAGCCGTGTGTGCATTTGGAGCTGGTCTTGGAAGATGGTGGGACATGACAGTCTGCGCCTAGTTTCTGCCAGGATACCTTCCAGTTTTCCCAACAATTCTTGTCAAATAATGAGTTCTTGCCCCAATACTTGGGATCTTTGGTTTTATCAGACACTAGGGTACTGTGCTCATTAGCTTCTGCACATTGTGTACCTCATCCATTCCACTGATTCACCTATTTCTCAATGAACCTTGCTCTTCTGACTCCGAGATTAGGCACCTGTTCACTGTGTCATGCATGCTGCCTCATCTCAGCTTACCTCCACTAAATTAAATAATGGAAGATGAACTTCAGATAAATTTCAGAAACAGAGCAGGCACTTAGAGGCCCTCTACTCCAAATCCCTTACTTCACAGAAGAAGCTGGCTCTGAAAGGTTAAAGGATTGATTTGGCCAAGGTCACTCAGGAAGCATCAGAAATAAACAGCTGTCCTCTGACTCCAAACCCATCAGTCTTTCCTCTGTATCATGCAACCTCTCCCAAGCACGACCATTTTACTGGTGAATTCTTTGCACTTCATATCCCTCAGTGGTGATTTCCTCTGAGAATTTTACGGATTCAATGGTTTCATTTCTGAATATGTCTGTTCGAGGGGCAAGTCCAAATAAAGACAACATAAAGGCTGACAAATCACTTGGATTTTCCTTGGTTTTCTCCATTCACTTCACAAGTCTCTGCGTCAGTCACTCACTGCTTGGTTCTCACTCTTCCTGCCCTCACACAGAACCTTCCCAAGAAGAAGCAGCCAAGTGTTTGGTAGCAGAATGTCCACTTGACTCCAAGAAATAACATGTTGCCTTCTGTCTCAGGAACTAAACCGCTTCCCCATGTTTGATCCCTTCATTCTCACACTCAGGAAGGCCCAGGGTTTGGGGCTGAGCTTGGACCACAGATGGCAAGGACCAGGACTAGCAGGACACAATCCCAGTGCTGGGCCAGTGTGGGGGGCCCCTGGGCTCCACACCCAGTATCCAGCCTATGGCATGAGGGGCATGCCATGTGAACGGGGGTGGGGTGGACAGCGGACTTCATGTGCGGAGAAAAGAAGTAAAAAAAGGAACCAGCTTTTGCCATTTACTCAGAGGTGAGGTTTGAAATGGTGACTTGAAAAGTAACGTACTCTACATGCCTTGACATTCTGATGACTCTCAAGGTATCACTGATGGATCAATCAACATTAATTAAGCACCTACTGTGTGGCAAGTGCTGGAGGCACAGCCCTTGATCTGGTCATCCATGACCCCAGGCTCAGCACTCAGCATATGCCGTGGCACTGACTGGACACATAATACGCGCTGCGCTGCTTGTCTGCGTGACTGAAGGAGGAGAAAACCTTTTATTCTCTTCCCCCCACCCTTTGGCTCTTCTGAGACTGTGGTATCTGATTTGACTGAGCCAGGACTTAAGCGCCCTTTTGTTTCAGGCACTGCACCAGGCTCTGGGGACCCAAAGACTAAACCAGGCACTGTCTCTGCCCCCCAACACTTACAGTACAAGAAACATTGAGAGAGAGGGAGGGAGAGAGAGAGAGAGAGAGAGAGAGAGAGA